AGACGTCGTCCTCAAGGTCGTCCTAGACGTCGTCTCAGGCGTCGTCCTTGAGGTCGTTCTTGAGGTCGTCCTTAACGTTGCCCTTGTGGTCGTCCTAGACGTCGTCCTCAAGGTCGTCCTAGACGTCGTCTTAGGCGTCGTCGTTGAGGTAGTTCTTGAGGTTGTCCTAAACGTTGCCCTTGTGTCGTCCTAGACGTCGTTCTCGACGTAGTCTTAGACGTCGTCCTCGAGATAGTCCTAGACGTCGTCCTAGGCGTCGTCCTTGAGGTCGTCCGAAACGTTGCCCTTGAGGTCGTCTTAGGCGTCGTCCTTGAGGTCGTTCTTGAGGTCGTCCTTAACGTTGCCCTTGTGGTCGTCCTAGACGTCGTCCTCAAGGTCGTCCTAGACGTCGTCTTAGGCGTCGTCGTTGAGGTACTTCTTGAGGTTGTCCTAAACGTTGCCCTTGTGTCGTCCTAGACGTCGTTCTCGACGTAGTCTTAGACGTCGTCCTCGAGATAGTCCTAGACGTCGTCCTAGGCGTCGTCCTTGAGGTCGTCCGAAACGTTGCCCTTGAGGTCGTCCTTGACGTCGTCCTCGAGGTCGTCCTAGACGTCGTCCTAGGCGTCGTCTTTGAGGTCATTCTTAAGGTCGTCCGAAACGTTGCCCTTGAGGTCGTCCTTGACGTCGTCCTCGAGGTCGTCCTTGACGTCGTCCTAGGCGTCGTCTTTGAGGTCATTCTTAAGGTCGTCCGAAACGTTGCCCTTGAGGTCGTCCTTGACGTCGTCCTAGACGTCGTCCTAGGCGTCGTCCTTGAGGTCGTTCTTGAGTTCGTCCTAAATGTTGCCCTTGTGGTCGTCCTAGACGTCGTCCTCAAGGTCGTCCTAGACGTCGTCTCAGGCGTCGTCCTTGAGGTCGTTCTTGAGGTCGTCCTAAACGTTGCCCTTGTGGTCGTCCTAGACGTCGTTCTCGACATAGTCTAAGACGTCGTCCTCGAGATAGTCCTAGACGTCGTCCTAGGCGTCGTCCTTGAGGTCATTCTTGAGGTCGTCCGAAACGTTGCCCTTGAGGTCGTCCTTGACGTCGTCCTCGAGGTCGTCCTTGACGTCGTCCTAGGCGTCGCCCTTGAGGTCGTTCTTGAGGTCGCCCTAAACGTTGCCCTTGTGGTCGTCCTAGACGTCGTTCTCGACGTAGTCTTAGACGTCGTCCTCGAGATAGTCCTAGACGTCGTCCTAGGCGTCGTCTTTGAGGTCATTCTTAAGGTCGTCCGAAACGTTGCCCCTGAGGTCGTCCTTGACGTCGTCCTCGAGGTCGTCCTAAGCGTCGTCCTTGAGGTCGTTCTTGAGGTCGTCCTAAACGTTGCCCTTGTGGTCGTCCTAGACGTCGTCCTCAAGGTCGTCCTAGACGTCGTCTTAGGCGTCGTCCTTGAGGTCGTTCTTGAGGTCGTCCTAAACGTTGCCCTTGTGGTCGTCCTAGACGTCGTTCTCGAGGTAGTCTTAGACGTCGTCCTCTAGATAGTCCTAGATGCCGTCCTAGGCGTCGTCCTTGAGGTCATTCTTGAGGTCGTCCGAAACGTTGCCCTTGTGGTCGTCCTAGACGTCGTCCTCGAGGTCGTCCTAGACGTCTTCTTAGGCGTCGTCCTTGAGGTTTTTCTTGAGGTCGTCCTAAACGTTGCCCTTGTGGTCGTCCTAGACGTCGTCCTCAAGGTCGTCCTAGACGTCGTCTTAGGCGTCGTCCTTGAGGTCGTTCTTGAGGTCGTCCGAACGTTGCCCTTGAGGTCGTCCTAGACGTCGTCCTCAAGGTCATCCTAGACGTCGTCTTAGGCGTTGTCCTTGAGGTCGTTCTTGAGTTCGTCCGAAACGTTGCCCTTGAGGTCGTCCTAGACGTCGTCCTCAAGGTCGTCCTAGACGTCGTGTTAGGCGTTGTCCTTGAGGTCGTTCTTGAGGTCGTCCTAAACGTTGCCCTTGTGGTCGTCCTAGACGTCGTTTTTGAGGTAGTCTTAGACATCGTCCTCTAGATAGTCCTAGACGCCGTCCTAGGCGTCGTCCTTGAGGTCATTCTTCAGGTCGTCCGAAACGTTGCCCTTGAGGTCGTCCTTGACGTCGTCCTCGAGGTCGTCCTAGACGTCGTCCTAGGCGTCGTCCTTGAGGTCGTTCTTGAGGTCGTCCTATACGTTGCCCTTGTGGTCTGAAGAAACTCAATTTTCGTTTTTCTTGTATAGCCATCGCACATGACGCAATCCCAATATACATCGTCATCTTCTGTTTTGGTTTTGTCAAACATGGCGTACGGCTCGTTCCTCGCGGCGGAGTTCTAACATTTTGGTGCCGAAAACTCGGGATGACAACGATATAGTCACGACGGAATGACGACGGGGCATCCACCCGCAACGAAACGAGCCAAGGGACGCCGCAAGAAGAGCGAGCTCCAGCGACACTACCGACGTTATCACTCAACGAGGCCTAGTGACGTCACAACGAAACGCGCCAAGAAAACGCGCTAAAGGACGCCGCAAGAGAAGAACTCCAACGACGCTACCGACGTTATCACTCAACGAGTCAAGTGTCGCCGCAGGAGACCGAGCTCTAGCGACGCTGCTGACATTATTACTCAACGAGGCCTAGTGACGCCGCAACGAAACGAGCCAAGGGACGCCGCAAGAGAGCGAGCTCCAACGACGCTACCGAAGTTCTCGCCCAACGAGGCCTAGTGACGCTGCAACGCCAGCAACGCCGCGAGACCCAGAGACGCCATGGAACGACTAAAGCAGAAGCGGACGGCTCTGAGGTCTCAAGTAACGAGGCTGATCTCCGACATCGACGCAGCTATCGCAAGCCACTCCGACGAGCGAAGCCTCAACGTATTATCAGTGAGGCTCAGTGAGTTGCGAATACAGCTGAGCAACGTGAACGCATCCATTGAACCACTGGTACCTGACGGAGATGTTGAGCAAAACTACGCCCGCACGATTGAATATGACAAGATCGTCGCGTACATCGCCACCATCGCACAGGAGGTAGAGGAACTCCGACGAGCGAGGCCCCAAACCGGTACAACGCGGATTCACAACGACGGCGACGGACGCGTTGCAACCTCTAAGGTGAAGCTGCCGAAACTGGAGCTTCAACGGTTTGGCGGTGCAGCTACCGATTGGCAACCCTTCTGGGAACAGTACAAGCAAGCCCTACATGACAACGACAGCCTCTCTAACGCTGAGAAGTTCTTGTACCTGCGGTCGGCGCTTACGGGAAAGGCAGCATCGGCGATAGCCGGCATTCAAGCAACGGGAGAAAACTACGATACCGTCGTTGAGCTTCTCAGGGAGCGCTTCGGTCGGACTGACGTTCTCATTCAAGAACACCTCTCCCAACTACTTGATTTGCCAGCAGTACGACACTCGAGCGAGGTGAGCGGATTGCGACGTCTCTATGACCACTTGCAACGTAATATGGCCGCTCTCACCGCGCTCGGGGTGAAGAACGAAACTTACGGAGCTATGCTCTGCTCTGCGCTACTGAGAAGGCTGCCGGGAGAGTTAGTCATTGATCACCACAAGCGTCGACGTCCTACGGACAAGGAAAACGACTGTATCGAGATAGAGAGCCTACAACGCTTCCTTAAGCTCGAAGTGGAGAGCCGTGAAGAGGCTCAACAAGTTCGTCAGCGAGAAGCCAAGAGTATGAGCCATACCAAAATAACAGAAGGCGGAAAGGCTTCTCTGGAGGGATCAGCCGCTGCTCTTTCCTCAACTAGTCACTCCAAGCAAACTGAACCGTGCGCATTCTGTGCCACGAAGAACCACGCTACACGAAATTGTCAGACATCAATTTCTCTGGAGGAGAAGAAGCAAAGATTTCGAGAAGCAGGACGATGTTTCCGGTGTTCGATCAAGGGACACACCTCCAAAGAATGTCGCAACAAAAGAATCATGTGTGAAACATGCGGGCGAAGGCACATAACTGAAATGTGTGACCCATCCTGGAAGAAAAATAAGAACACCGCAGCAGAGTTACACTCTTCGACTGGCAGGAGGAGCGATAAAACTCCTGCTGTACTACTTCAAACAGCTCAGGTCTGGGCAGAAGGGAAACGGCGAAGAGCTCTCACGCACATCCTTTTTGATGGAGGAAGCCAACGAACCTTTGTGATGAAGAACTTTCACGTAAGCTACAGCTCGAGGTTGTTGGTAAAGAAGACATTGCTATCTATTCTTTTGGAGGAGCAGGAAACATCCTCAAGGAAAAACGCAGAAGGGTACGAATCTGGCTAAGGAGCCAGTACAGCCAAAAGAAGCACTGCCTAGAAGCTCTGGAGATACCAGAGATTTGCTCCGATCATCTTCTTCTACCTGAGAGTGTAGTGCAAGGAGTCCAAGTACAGATAGCTGAGCTGGCAGACGTCACCTTCCCACCAGCCCAGTTATTAAGACATGGCATTGACATTCTTATTGGTGCTGACTACTATTGGACTCTTGTCTCTGGTGAGGTCCGAAAAGTGCAAGGCGCTCTAGTCGCTGTCAAAACAGACTTTGGATGGACACTTCAAGGACCGATTCCCCACAGCGGTTTGACTGCCTCCTGTTCTACTGCGGCAGTTCTGAAGGCCAATGTGGGTGGAAGCACATGCTCATTGTCTACCGAGCTCCGGTCATTTTGGGAGCTGGAAAGCATGGGCATCACCGATCCTAACCTCTCACAAAACGAAGAGGAGAATGAAGTTGTCAGAGCATTTACATCATCCATCAAGCTAACTACCGGACGGTATGAGGTGGCCTTACCTTGGAAGCCAATGAACCTTCAGCTGGCAGACAATGAAGGAGTTGCAAGGAAGCGTCTGGTGAGCCTCACAAAGAAGTTGCTTAGGGACGATGTGATGCTGACTGAGTATGATTAGACAATTCGCCAGTATCTCCAGCAAGGATTTGCGGAAAAGATTTCCCCGAATGCAGACAAGGCAGAGAACCATGTATACTACATGCCTCACCGTGCTGTGTTACGACCTGACAGCCTCTCGACCAAGGTCAGAGTCGTGTTTGATGCGTCGTCAAGAGAACCAGGGTGTCTGTTTCTGAATGACGCACTAGAGTCAGGACCAAACCTGAATCCAGGCCTCCTGAAAGTGTTACTGAACTTTCGGATTCATCGTATCGGCCTCAGTGCAGACATTGAGAAGGCATTTCTACAGATATCACTGAGACTGGAAGATCGTGACGCTCTGCGATTTTTCTGGTACGAACGAATGCCAACGAAGCAAGAGCCGAACCCTCCTGTAGAGGTTTGGAGGATGACAAGGGTTCCTTTCGGAGCGACCAGTAGCCCGTTCCTTCTCGCAGTCACGCTACGTCACCACTTGTCGATAACAGAAGACTATCCGGAAACAACGAAATCACTAGCCGAGAGACTCTACGTCGCTGATCTTATCATCGGAGCGAACACCGAGGAAGAGGCGGAACAGTTCTATCGACAAACATTACATGTCATGAAGCTAGCCGGAATGACAATGCGGAAGTGGAACACAAATTCTACGGAGCTGCAGCAGCTATTCAACGAGGAAGGAACCGGGTGTGTTCTAGATCAAGTAGAGTTTACCACCTCTAGCGTTTCTCGAGTGTTAGGACTTGTCTGGGACAAAGACAGCGATTGCCTGGCGTTCTCCATGGAGCCTGTTTTGGAATTCCTAGACCGGAACTGCAACACGAAACGATTCATTCTCCAGGCATCATCTCGCATATATTACCCGTTAGGACTCATTTCCCCAGTCACCGTGACAGCCAAGCTGATGTTTCAAACCCTCTGGGAACTGGGTGTCGACTGGGACGCGCCGCTACCTGAAGAGGTTCAAACAAGTTGGACGCAGTAACATACAGCACTGCACCACTTAACGAAAGTAACAGTACCCCGAAGGTGCCTTGAGCTTCCTGAGGATGACCGAAACGAAGTCCACATATTCACAGATGCCAGTCCCAAGGCTTATGGGGCTGTGGCGTACCTGTGCACGCAGACTGCACCAACGAGGGTGACTTTGGTTTTGTCCAAGACCCGGGTGGCGCCGCTAAAGAAACTTTCTCTCCCAAGACTTGAATTGATGGGAATGGTGATAGGGGCACGGCTAAAGGACTACCTTACTAGATCGTTGAACCTACAAGTAGCCAGCTGGTACCTCTGGACAGACTCACCAATCGCACTACATTGGGTGCGAGGTTCTGCTCAGCAGTGGAAGCCCTTTGTGGCCAATCCAGTATTGGAGATCCAACAGCTGACTGATCCAGAGCTTTGGAACCATTGTCCTGGACTAGAAAATCCGGCTGATCTGCTCACAAGAGGGGTGACACCCGAAGCACTCAAGTCGAGTGCGGCATGGTGGAACGGACCGCCTTGGCTCACGGAGCCACCTGCTGCCTGGCCAACGCATGAAGCAGGTGTTGATATGACCGCGGCTGATGAAGAGAAGAAACAAGTTCGAGTCCATAGCGTGACACTGAAAGAAGAACAGGTTTTGCCTATGCAGCGCCACAGTTCCCTTTCGAAGATTGTTCGAGTTGTTGCCTGGATACGACGATTTATACATAACTCTAGACATCCCAGCCAAAAACGCGAGGGTTATTTGACGACCGAAGGAGTAGCACAAGCTCAAACGTGTCTGATCCTGCAGGTTCAACAGGAGGCGTTTCAGACAGAGCTCCAATGCGTTCGACGCTCAGCACGCATGGACAGCAACTCTCCGTTACGGGACTTAAACGCATACCTCGACAAGGACGGCGTGCTGAGGGTCGGAGGACGCCTCAGTAACGCTGACATGTGTGACAATGCAAAGCATCCCATCATTCTTCTGTCAAATCATCATTTTACCGAGCTTTTAATCAATGCCACGCATCGACGACTTCTCCACGCTGGTCCCCTTGAGACTCTGACAGAACTGCGGGAACAGTTCTGGGTCGTTCGAGGAAGACAGATGGTAAAAAAGGTGCTGAAGAAATGTGTGATATGTGACCGTGTCAACAGCCGAGCGGCCACCGAGCCAGTTGCTCCACTCCCTCGAGACAGAGTAACCCAAGCGGCCCCCTTTGAGGTGACTGGCGTGGACTTCGCCGGACCGCTCAACACAAGGGATAAAGGCAACAAAAAGAAGTCTTACATCCTCATTCTCACCTGTGCCGTTACCCGTGCATTCACCTCGAACTAGTGACCGACATGTCCACCCCCATTTTCTGATGGCCTTCAGACGATTTGTGTCAAGAAGAGGAGTGTGCAGAGTCATCTTTTCTGACAATGCAAAAACGTTTCAGCGTGCTTCAAGAGACCTGAAGAAACTGTGGACCACGTTGCGTGGAGAGGAGAAACAAGCCTACTTCGCTGATCGGCAGATACAGTGGAAGTTTATAATCGAGAGAGCTGCCTGGTGGGGTGGGGTCTGGGAAAGGATGGTCCGGTCGGTGAAATCCTCGCTCAAGAAAGTTTTGGGTAACAGCTACTGCAACTTCGAAGAGCTGACGACCATCTTAACTGAAATTGAGGCTGTAATTAACTCAAGACCTCTGACATACGTCTACACCGTAGCCACCGAAAAGGAACCACTCACCCCTTCCCATTTTCTGGTGGTAAAGCGTTTAACTGCACTTCCGACCAGCTCCAGCGTGGAGCCTGTGCCTCCCCTTGAAGGACAATACAGCAGGCGGTGGCGTTACCGTCAAAGGATGGCAGATAAATTTTGGCGTAGATGGAAGAGGGAATACTTGACCAGTCTGCGATCTGCTCATTTCACGGTGCCGACTTCCTCCAGTGCCCTGAAGAAAAGAACTCTAGTGTTGGTCCACCAACATCTCCAACCTCGACAACTTTGGAAGACGGGAGAAGTCGCAGAAGCATTGACTGGACGAGACGGGCACATACGAGCTGCTATGGTGCGTCTTCCTAATGGTACCATTGTTAGGAGACCCGTACAACTTTTATACCCCATGGAATCTATTTATTAATGACTTGACGTCATTGTGGGGGAGTGTGAAGAAACTCAATTTTCGTTTTTCTTGTATAGCCATCGCACATAACGCAATCCCAATAAACATCGTCATCTTCTGTTTTGGTTTTGTCAAACATGGCGTACGGCTCGTTCCTCGCGGCGGAGTTCTAACATGGTCGTCCTAGACGTCGTTCTCGAGGTAGTCTTAGACGTCGTCCTCGAGATAGTCCTAGACGTCGTCCTAGGCGTCGTCCTTGAGGTCATTCTTGAGGTCGTCAGAAACGTTGCCCTTGAGGTCGTCCTAGACGTCGTCCTAGGCGTCGTCCTTGAGGTCGTTCTTGAGGTCGTCCTAAACGTTGCCCTTGAGGTCGTCCTAGACGTCGTCCTCAGGGTGGTCTTAGACGTCGTCCTCGAGATAGTCCTAGACGTCGTCCTAGGCGTCGTCCTTGAGGTCATTCTTGAGGTCGTCAGAAACGTTGCCCTTGAGGTCGTCCTAGACGTCGTCCTAGGCGTCGTCCTTGAGGTCGATCTTGAGGTCGTCCTAAACGTTGCCCTTGAGGTCGTCCTAGACGTCGTCCTCGTGGTAATCTTAGACGTCGTCCTTGAGGTCGTTCAAGATGACAATAAGCTCATATATATATATATATATATATATATATATATATATATATATATATATATATTGTTACAAAGACGACGACACACATATCTTTGGGAAATAGGGGCGCGCGCTGCATGTCTTGGACGCACGAGCTGGGAGCGATTCGGCTGATCCGCCATTGATCGCCTCTGGTCTTCCCACATCGCACCATCAAATACGTCTCTCATAAACACCCTCACAAGTGGTGGAGGTGCAGACGATTCCCAACCTCTCGGTTCCTGTCCTATCGCGATCGGCCCTGGAGCTTCGCAGCGGACGTTCAAAGCACAACGCAATGCCGAACGAGGCGGGCAATGCCAACGGACAACGACCACCCGCTGCACCGCCCATTAAGAACCGCCAGCGAGATCCACCAATTTTCAATGGAGCACCAGAGGCTGATGTCAACGACTGGCTAAGAAGTTACGACCGGGCTAGCCTACATAACAGGTGGGACGATACTCTCAAGCTCGCGAATGTAGTTTTCTTCTTGAAGGATACCGCACTCCAATGGTTTGATAATCACGAAGAAGAGATAAATTCCTGGGACGGATTCCAATTGGCTTTCTCGGAAGTATTTGGCAAACCTGAGCGCCGCAAACAACAGGCGAAAGATAAACTTGCCCGAAAGTACCAAACTACAACCGAGTCCTCCACGTCCTACATTGAGGACGTCCTTCGCCTGTGTCGGCGCGTCGACGCTAACATGACCGAAGAAGGCAAAATCCGGCATTTGTTCAAAGGGCTATCTATCACACGAGCTATTCTCAATCGTAGCTCCAAAATCCCCTCCATCTGTTCAGCACCTCATTACAGAGTGCAAGAAGTACGAGGAGTTGCAGAGCGCCCGAATAACAAACGAACCCTTCGAACGCCTGCCCGAAGTATCTCAACAGACCACAACGGCGTCCGACCTCCCACAATTAATTCGGCAAATCATCCGCCAGGAACTGCTGGCGTACTTCGGCACACCACGATCGTCAGATGGATCTCCAAACCAACAGAACGACACCGAAACTATACAGAAGGTAGTACAGGACGAAGTACGAGCTGCTCTCCAACCACTCGCTCCGCCTACCCCTACGTACGTGCCAGCACCACCAGCACCCACACCCTGCTGCCCAATGCTGTACGACACGCAACCCCGCTACCAGACGTCCTTCCTACACCACCCCCCTCCCCCACGACGAATTTATGGTCAACAACGACGCACCGACATTTGGAGAACAGAAGACCAGCGCCCGGTGGGCTTCTACTGTCACACAGCCGGTCATATCGCCCATTACTGCCGTCGACAAATTAATAATAACGCCTATTATCATGCGCCTGGCAATCCGTCTCCCTATTCCAGAGATTTTGACGACAGCCGCTCCTCCGACGCACGCCGCTCTGCAAATGATTCACAAACACCTCACGAACACCGCGGCCGATCACCCTCGCCGTACCCCAGACGTCGCCGATCAGTGTCACCCTTCAACCACGCAGCCGCAGCGTCGACGCCGTCGTCAAACTAAGGAGGGCAGCCTGTGTTGCCACCGGAGGTCAGGCTGCACTGCCACAAGTTGCCGAAAATCCTCCTTTTATTGGACCGATGAGACTTAACGCTCATATTGCAGGACAAACATTCGTCGCTTTGGTCGACACAGGAGCCGCCAAATCATGCATATCAGACAATGTCTGCCGCCGCTCACGTAAGGTAATTACACCAGCCAACGGACACCTATTGCGCATGGGTAACGGCGAATTGGTGCAGCCTCTCAGATGTGCATCAGTGTCCATCCTCATTGCAGACATATCCTATATTGTCGTATTCCTCGTCGTTTCTAACTGCGTCGCTGACGTTATTTTAGGCTGGGATTTCTTGTCTTCCACAGACGCCTTTATAAACTGTGCTAGAGGCGAACTAGAGCTGAGCTGCATTGACTCCGTTACTGATCCCTCCCATTTGACAAACATGACCCTCCGCACAAACGACGACCTTCTTTTGCCACCATGATCCGCCGTTGCCGTGGCGCTCAGAGCCGACCCGTCGTTTATTGGCCCCTCTGGACTAGTGGAACCTGCTGAATCACTATTTGCGAAGAAAAGTATTGTCGTCCCATACTCCATCGTGTCCCTAGTAGAAGGCAGTGTTTGTCTTTGCCTCACCAACCCATCTACGGAGTCGCAAATACTTCCCCGGAACACTCGTGTCGCCAATATCACCATGTATCAGGAACACCACATCGCCACTCTTTCGGAACATTTGTCCCCCCCCCCCCACTTGTCTACACGCTTGTGCACGCGACATGAATGACAACTTTACAAGGATGGTGGACGCTAATTTGCCTCCGGAGGACCAACATCGTTTAATCACCCTGCTTGAAGCTTATTCTGATTTATTTGACTTCAGCAGCCAAGCCCTTGCTCAAACATCCGTTGTCCATCATCACATTGACACTGGAGAGGCACGCCCACTAAAAAGCAGACCATACCGAATTTCACCCACAGAGCGCAAAGTCATCCAACAGCACGTCACCGAAATGTTGGTGAAGAAAGTCATCCAGCCTTCCTTTAGCCCTTGGTCTTCACCCGTCGTCCTCGTAAAAACGAAGGATGGGTCGTGGCGCTTCTGTGTAGACTACCGCCGCCTGAATAAAGTAACCAGGAAAGATGTCTACCCACTGCCGAGGATCGACGACACACTAGACGCCCTCCAAGGGTCATCCTTCTTTTCATCGATGGATTTCCGGACCGGCTACTGGCAAATACCAGTCGCTGATGCTGACAGACCTAAAACGGCATTCGTGACACCTGACGGCCTCTACGAATTCAACGTAATGCCGTTTGGTCTGTGCAGTGCTCCAGCAACCTTCGAAAGGATGATGGATACATTGCTCCGCAGCCTCACCTGGGATATATGTCTATGCTACCTCGACGACGTCGTCGTTTTCTCAACCATACTTGATCAACATTTACACCGGCTGAAGCAAGTTCTTGGTTGTTTTCGCTCCGCACAGTTACAATTAAACTAGAAAAAATGTACGTTCGCTGCTCGACAACTGAAAGTACTTGGCCATGTAGTCAGTGCCAATGGCATCAGCCCGGACCCCGACAAACTCAGAGCCGTTTCTGAATTTCCTGTCCCGCAAGTTCAAAAAGACGTCCATGCTTTCTTTGGACTGTGCACATACTTCCGAAAGTTCATCCCTGGCTTTGCTCACGTCGCTGAAACTCTCAATCAACTCCTTCGCAATAACACCACATTCCAATGGGGCCCACTTCAACACCAATCCTTTGAGTCCCTTAAATCGGCCTTGACGAAAAGTCCCATTCTTGGCCACTTTACTGAAGGAGCCGAAACCGAGATACGAACAGACGCTAGTGG